GATTCAATTGTTCGTTTTTTTTTAAAAAAAAAATAAGCCTGGCTTCGATTTTGTGCCGAGTCGTACCTTTGCCCACCCTTAAATTGACAAAATAGACAAATTGCTCAATCATTTTTTTTTAATAAAAATGTATATTTATAATTTCAAATATCATATATGACTGACTATTGAATGTACAATGTTATACCACTTTCCTCATTTGAAGCCAACTTTATATAAATTTTATAGAAGTAAGGCAATAAAAAACTTATGGGATTGAAGGACAAAATTGAAGTAATTCCTATCAAGCACATGGGATAAGAGGAATGACTAAGCTGAGCAATCAAAAAATTCTATCCAAAGCCAAGACTGTAACTTTTACATTTTACCCCCTCTTTTCCTCATAAAATTCAAATTGCAGTAATTTTCTATTTTGTGAAAATGAAATTCTATCTTTTTAGTCAACTGCATTTCCTTTTTCTTATTCTAGTGATGTCAGTCAAAGTTTCTGTACTCTGTACAAAAGCTTATCCATAGACCAAAAATACAAGCTTCCAACCAAGCCAATTTTTTTGACCAATCTATAAGTTTTCTCTATTAAGGAGATTAATAATTATTTATTTTGGTTAGAACAAGAAGTTATTTTACAGTATCATATTTATTTGGAGAAATGTTATAGTTGATTTGATTTCTAAAAACAAAAGAATGAAAATTAATTAGTCTATATTAGCTAGGGTTTATTGATGTCTTCTCTCTTAATTTATTATTGTGTCAACTAAATAAAAAAAAAAAAAATTAAGAATTGAAAAAAAGTTAGAGCATCTCCAGTGGTATGCTCTCTTCCATTGCCACCTAACCTCCAAAATCCAACGTGGCATTCAATAAATCTAGAAGTCTTTCTACATCTAGAAAGACTTCTAGACGTCTTCCATTTTATATTATATTATTTATGTTATATTTATGTTTTTACCAACCAATCATTATATTACATGTGTCAAATTATCTCACAAATGAGATTAACCATTGGAGACAATTTTATTTATTTTTCTTTCTCTACATCATTCATCTCAAAATAGACATTGAGCCATTGGAGATGCTCTTAGTATACTACTATTGAACGCCATGCCACACAAGTCGCAACTGTTAAGAAAGAAATACATTCGGAAAAATTAAGGACATGCTTGTTTATGAGTTAATTTACTCATTTTTATCTCATACTTAAAATATAACTCAATTTTAATTCAATATCATTTACTTTAATACTATTTATATAATTAAATAATACAAACCAATTATTCTTACACATCACATGAATTTTAATTCGCTATTCATCAACTCACATAGTTTTAACTATCTATCATTTTTAATCATTTATCTTCTACTTTTACATTAAATCAATTTTAATTATTTTATTTTAAATATTATTTTAATACATTTTTAAAATTCTACTAACAACTAACTATACTACATTTTTAAAAATTAATCATAATTAATTGAAATAACTCATTTTAAACAAATTATTTAATGAACAATCAAGCCTAACGATACAAAAGTATATGATAATGATTTTTCGCTAAACAAAATAACCGTATACAAAATATTATATTATTATTTAGTTTATCCTTTTCCGCAACAACTTAGCTAGTGGTTATTGAGTGAGAGAAAAATATAGATGCATTAATGGCGGAACACGACAACCACCACCAAAACTCCGACCCCTCTCCCTATGACCACAACCTCCACCTACACCACCAACCGCCGCCCATCTCCCCCCAAAACCCTAACGCCGACCTCGAAGACCAGGACGGATCCCCAGCGGGAGCCGCCGCCACCAGCTCCGGCGGCCGGAAGCGTGGCCGCCCCCCGGGATCGAAGAATCGGGCCAAGCCGCCGGTGGTCGTCACGCGCGACGGCCCCAACGCGCTCCGGTCTCACGTGCTGGAGGTCGCCGACGGGAGCGACGTCTTCGGGAGCCTGTCGGCGTACGCGCGGCGGAGGGGCCGCGGCGTCTGCGTGCTCGGTGGCGGCGGCGCGGTGTCGGATCCGACGCTGCGGCAGCCGGAGGGAGGCGCGGCGGCGATTCCCGGCCGCTTCGAGATCCTGTCGCTGACGGGGACGGTGCTGCCGCCGCCGGCTCCGCCGGGATCCGGCGGGCTGGCGGTGTTCCTGTGCGGCGGGCAGGGAAGGGTGGTCGGGGGGAGCGTGGCGGGACCGCTGGTGGCGTCGGGGCCGGTGGTGCTGGTGGCGGCCTCGTTCGCGAACGCCGTGTTTGAGAGGCTGCCGCTGGAGGAGGAGGAGGAGGAGGACGGAGGCGCGGTGGAGGCGGCGTCCCAGTCGTCCGACGTGTCGGCCGGCGGTCTCGGGAACAACTGCGGCGGCGGCGGTTCCCACTTCAACTCGTCGGCGGGTGGGGGTACGGCGGAGGTGGCGCCGCCGCCGCCGCCACAGGAGAGTTATCCTTTTTCTGGTGATTTGTTTGGCTAATTAGCCCTTTTTATTGTTTTTTTTTTTCAATTATAAGCAGGAAAAAAAGTGGGTTTAATTATAAACATTTTTTTTTTTTAATGGATGTCAAAGATTATTAACTGTGTGTTTATATGAACGAAATTGTGAGGAATAGGAGAGGAAGCTGAGTTTAAGATGAGTATGAAGGAGATTGATCCCATTTAGAGATGATTACGAACAAGAATAATCCAAATTTTGATTAGCAGGTTTATGTTAGCCATTAGTCTGAGTATAATAACTTTCGTTAAAAATGTAATAATTTAAAAAACATATAAATATAAGCTTGACATTAGATAATATACATATGCTTTCAAAAATCGTAACTATTATAATATAGTCCAAATTTGAAAGGTGTTATTCAGACATTTGTGTTTTTGGAAGGGGAAGATTTTATGTGCTTGTGAGTTCATCTCACGCACGCACTGCATTTTTTATTTTTTGAATATTTATTTTGCTCAAATAAAAAATTTCGTTTTCTCGTGACAACACTTTATGATGTCTATGTATACCACTTGATCCCTCATTTTATATATAACTTATATGAAAAAATACATTTTACAAAACGTTAATTGCATAATCGTTCTGTCTCTCTTATTTCTTAAAGCTTGAGAATTCAAATACATTAATAGGTTCTATGAGAATTTTAGGGCATGCTTGTTTATGAAATAATTCATTTCACACTCAAAATTTAACTTAATTTTAATTCAACCTCACTATCATTTATATTATTTATATAATTAAATATTATAAACCAATCATTCTTACATATCACATCAACTTTAATTCACTATTCATCCACTCACATAATTTTAATTACTTATCATTTACAATCATTTATATCCTCTTTTACATCAAATCATTAATAATCATTTTATTTTAAATATTATTTTAATATATTATTAAAATTCCACTAACAATTAACCATGCTATCTTTTTCAAAATTAACTCTAATTAACTAAAATAACTCATTTTGAATGAAATATTTCATAAACAAGCACGCCCTTAGTATTTAAACAACTACATACTATAGTTAAAAGTCATTGTAAGTAGGGGTAATCAATGATAACCTTGAACTTATATACGAGATAAATCCAAAGTATACTATTTGTATATTAAATACACGCATCAACTTGTTTT